CACAAATCATAATTGCCAATGTAGCGATACAAACTATTCAGCTCGTTTTTTTCCTACGGTTGCTAACAAATCCAGCAAAATCCAACTTTTGTAATTTGTTCTGTAAGTTATTTTCTTTAACTTAGTAGATTCATGCTGAGTGAGCGGCTTAATCAGAAGTAATAACTATGGAGTTGTCTGAACTCAATTTTTTTGATTTTTCGAAATGAAATATTCAGTGCAATAAAATGCAGTGTGTATCATAAATAACAAATAGCAAACACTATCGATCGAATCGACCTTTATTTTTTGCTGCAAAACACACGACAATCTATTTTACACGTGTCAATCTCAGTACTTCTGAAAAATTCAGATCTATTCAGGAGACTGTTGACGAGTTTGAGACGCCAAAAACCTCCATGGAAAAAGGTGGCACTGTTTCTGCTGAGGCTACGATAGAGGCAGCCATGCAACGTATGGGGCTTACTGAGGTACGATTACGATTTGATTTCTTATATTTCATTGTTTCCTTTTATTTTAATTTTTGCTATGCGATCTTGATAACATTTTTTTGGATCTAATTTTCTTTAGAAGAAACCGCATTCTGTCGACTGCAACGATGAAGAATGTGCACCTGGCTGCCCACATATGGAAATGATTATGCTGATGATTGACACGGTGACAGTCTTTCGTTTAGAGCTCCCTTACTTTAAATAAGAGTTTTTAGGTTCCGGATTTCCTAGAGAACATCGCATACAGTGATCCAGCTCTCTACACCAAACTTGCCAACAGCATGTTCTCATAAGTTGCCTTGTTTATGTATATTTTGAAATTTTCTAATTTTGCCTCATGGTATCAACGGTTCTAATCGTGAGTACTAATGAATTGAAGATTTTGAAAAAGTTTATTGACATAATGACGAAAAATCAGTTGAAGTCTGAAGTTGTGTATTCTGTAGTACCTAGTATGTTGTTTTTCTAGAAGTGAATTTTTTGTAATCTGTAAACTTTGAGGTAACTTTCTCTGCCTGTTTGTTGAAGATAAACTTATGACTTTCTTGATGCGAATCTGACTAGTGTGATTTTCTCTTTTCAGTCTCCATCTCATCATCTCAGAACTGCAGAGGTATATAACAAGTAGGGGAAGGTCAGTAGAAGTGGCTTCCAGTATGAGATGAATACTGCCTAGAAGGGTATGAAACGCTGGTTCCGAATCTACCTTCACTGTCTGCTGCGGACGCTAGGTGTTATATTTGAATGTACAGCTAGGATACAATTAGTCGTAACATTTTTCATACCTATATAGCTTTACGACTATGTTAGTAACTTCCAAAAATTTTGCGACCCTTCTCGGGGGAAGGGGGCGGAGCAGTGTACAACTTATTTTGAAAAGCCGCTTTGGCTAACCTACTTTTCCTTGAGGTGAGATATAAGGACCATAGTTGAAGCACTTCTCTCAGAAACTATGCTCTATGCCTTCGCGAATGTCGTCTTG